AGCACTATCGGCCCGGCACACAGCTACGGTTGCCTTCGGGAAGCCTTGGCCATCTTCTCCTTGTCATAGTTACTATTGAGCCATTCGCCCGCATTGTCTTGCTTGCTCACCTTCAAGTTCAAGCTAGGGCTGAAGAACTTCAGACAGAAGCTCTGAATCAGAACCTTTCAATCACACACAAATGGCCTCGGTGAAAAAGTGCAGAATCTGCTCTCGCACTGACAGCTTCTCTTCGCCAACAGCTGCCATGGCCGCTCCCCGCCCCCCGGTTGACGGCTAAATGGTCTTTGCAACAGGAACACAACAAATTCAAAGCTTTCAACTCATGCTTGACAAAGCACACGGCACAGGGGCACTCGGCAGGGCACTCAGCCAACATGTCCTGGCAAAGAAGTGGTGCAGCAAGCCAGAGTCAGATAAAGGCATGTCCTCGTCATCCAGTTTTGGCTTGCAGGACCGATGGATCGACGGCCTTGCGCGTTGCAACAGGCAATCAACATGGTCAGAAATGTTCATTTGCTAGCCAAGTCACAGTGATAGCAGCTGCAATAGCAACTGCTATGGCTCGCAAGTGCATACTGTTGCCAGCAAGACTGTGCAATTCCTTAGTTTTTTGGCGAGAAACCTGGAGTCGGCCCAAAGAACTTCGCAGACAAGGTTCCCGTTCGCTGTTTCGACTGAGATCGAGCCGATGAAGAGGAAATCCCATCTGAAGCATTTTCTCAGCTCCTGCTCCAGGACCAAACGACAGGTCTCAGAGGAACTTTGCAAGACTAAGACTGACCTGTCATGAAGCGAGAGTGCTTGGATAGGAAGTAGTCCCCGCCAGGTGTGACACACACGAAGGGCCTTCAACATAACAAAGCTTGACAGCACATTGACATGCAACCAAAAGCCACAACTGGGCTGAGACCTGCACTCACCGGGCAAAACCACTGGCATTCTGCCCAAGTTCTGGCTGGCGTCAGCCACTTGCCACTTGGGCTTCAAATGGCTCAACACTGCAAATGCCTGGCAAGCAGTTCCGAAGCGGTGGTTGGAATGCAGACTGGCAAATATTTGCTACACCTGCCTGCTGCATCCTTGGCAAGTGTACCGCTGGGCAGTTTGACCACACTGGTTTGACATCAGCCGGGGAAATCTGCACGGTGCAGAAACACATTTGACCATCATCATGAATCATTTGATGGGCTACGGGCTAAGAGCCTTCATGCCCTTCATGAACTTCCAATGGCGTAAGCGCCACTTGGGATCCCCGCTCTGTGGCCTGTCATGAGGTCCGAAATGAAGTCTACATCAGTGTGCATTCCAGACCAGCCTTGAGTTCACGTTGTACTTCTTCTTGCCCCTGTGATTCTTCTCGCGGCGTTTTTGTATGCACTCCATCACATACTTCGACTTTGCCGGGAGCAAGAGATCAGACCTCGAATTGGCAAGGCATGATCCAAGTTCAAAACCAGCATGTCATGACAGTGACAGTGACAGACAATAGTCGAGGATCTGACCATGGCCTCTCGCGTTTCGACGACGTCATCGTCTCGATCGTATCGAGAACATGCTGTTGCAGCGTGCCGTCAATCTTCAGAAAGCGTTTCAGCACCATGATAATGTATACTCTCCGTCGCGAGCCATCTGCACCGTGGTTGTACCTTGGCTGCTCTTCTCAACCCTAAGCTGGATTTTGCCGTTACCACATGTCTGAGTCAAGCACGGGTCGATCTCGACCACAGCGATGACGTAAGGACCGCAGGATCGCAACTCCTGCAAGACTTCTTTCAGCACCCTGTACAGGCCCATGACATTCTCCAAAACGCACACCTTGGCATCGTTGAAAATATATATTCACGTCAACATCCACCGTGCTGCCATCATCCCATCATCACTGTGTGCTCAGCTTCAAACCTTTGGCTGTGTTGTCTTAATCGTGTCTTTCACCATGAAGAACTGCTTCGCTTGCTCGTCGTCCATCCACGCGCTCTCAACTCGAAGAGCAGAAAAAGCTTTGCAAGGAAAGCCAGCTACATAAAGCCCGACCTGTCAAGTTCATTCAGAATTAAAAGTCAGAACCGAGCACATAAACTATTTCTTGCCCAATGGAGCACATTGCCTTGCCAGCCAGTGTCTTAACATCTCGGTCGGCAAGGTTGTCGTAAAACCTGTCAGCGTCAGGCCCGACTTTTGGCTGAATGATATGATCAGGGACGGCCGGCCTTTCAGGGTTGAAATTTGCTCTGATCCATCTTTGAGGCCCACGGGCATTGTCACACGAAGACCTGACTGCACAACATCGGGGATTTGTGATGGTCAAATTTTGTCTTTGAGCCGTCGAGCCGCAAATGTCTCACCATGTTGGACATGCCTGCCCCGGCCAAGAGCATGTCCAATGCCATTACTGGCGCTTCGGCTCCACTGCCTTGCAGGAAAGACACACATGAGAGTTGTCATTTTGCACATAGTTGCCTTCAAGAAGATCTGAGTTCTAAGCAGTCGGTCATCAGCCCAATCGACACACATTGTCATAAAGTGATAAGCCAAGCGCTGTACCACAGTCTGGCTCAAGCAAGCCTGCAGCCTTTGCAAAAGCACTGCCGAACTCCAAGTGCTGCCGCTGACCAGCATTCAACGTGATATTTCCAGCGCTGGGAAGCCTAAGTGTGCCCAACCTACACACAACTCAGTGTCAAGTCAAAGTCCAGGTAAGGTCGAAGCATCACGTCTTCAAATTCTTCATCAGAAGATTCACTGTCACATGAAACCTGACACACACACACACTTTGTCTTCTAGACATTAATGGCTTGGCACGATCGTCCGGGCCTCCATAATGTCGCTGTCACTGTCTGATAGCACAACGACAGCCATCGGCACACTGGCACATGTCCAAGATGGCACGTCTGGGTCCCAGCTTGAGATTGCCACTGATCTGTGTCTAAAACTTCATGATGACAACGCGCAGCCTTCAGCATTGGAGCAGCAAAGGCCTGCAGAGTCTGCAAATCATGACAGGCAACTCAACAAGCACAGCTCACAAAACACACGGGCAACCAAATCCGCGGCTAGCCCGCAGGAGTTAATAGAAGCTCCGCGGCTAGCCCGCAGGAGCTTTAGAATGCATGCGAACACACAAGAGGATAAGTAACTAGCCCAATCATCATGACTCGAATACCCCAGGCCCAAAAACCAGACATCCGGTTAGCTTTTGGAAGACATCTAGTTTCGGCCGTGCCGGCATTAGAATATTTCCAGAACTAGCAGTTAGAATATTTCTTGGCCAAAACTAGCAGTTAGAATGTTTTTCAGAAATTGCAGTCCTTTTTCTCTTTTTTTCATCGAAACCCTAAACCCTAAACCAGAACCCTAAACCCTGTATATATATAAACGCAAAACCCAAAACCCTAAACCCCACACCACACGGGGCAGGGGGGGGGGTATTTGCACTTATATATACCGGGTCCGGTATATGCTGGACCGTGGTGTGCCTACACTTCCGGGTTCGATGAAAGCTCCGGACCGTGGTTTATACATGATTAGATATATTCATATACAGAACACGAATATACCGGGTCCGGTGCATGCTGGCCCGTGGTGTGCATACACTTCCGGGTTCGGTGAAAGCTCCGGACCGTGGCTTAAGCATATAGACATATACATAACACTTATATACCGGGTCCAGTATATGCTGGATGCATACACTTCCGTGAAGAAGGCCCCAACCCCCCTGCCCCCAGAAATATTCTATCTGCTGGTTCTGCAAGGAGCCGTGAAGGCCAGGAAGGCCTGAAAGAGCCCTGAAGAAGGCCCCAACCGCCCTGCCCCCAGAAATATTCTATCTGCTGGTTCTGCAAGGAGCCGTGAAGGCCAGGAAGGCCTGAAAGAGCCCTGGAGAAGGCCCCAACCTCCCTGCCCCCAGAAATATTCTATCTGCTCATTCTGTTTTCGGAGCCGTGAAGGCCAGGAAGGCCTGAAGAGGCCTGGAGAAGGCCCCAACCCCCTGCCAGCTGCTGGTTCTGCAAGCAGGAAGGCCTGAAAGAGGCCTTCGGTGAAAGCTCCGGACCGTGGTTCCCAGAGTCTAGGGCCCGCAGTGGTACCCTTATTTTTTTCTTAAGGCTTGGCTGCTCAACCATGACCCTGAACCCTAAACCCTATAAACCCTAGGAGTATATACATCGTGGAGATTGGAGAGAAATCACAGCCGGACCTGACACGCGTCTATGCCTCGACCCTCTAAGGCTCTGCAACTCTGCGCCCTGTTCTCCAAATTGGGGAATACCCTTTTTGGGGAGTTCGGGTCCAGGGTTCAGGGTTTAGGGTTGAGGGTTTAGGGCTTTAGGGTTTAGGGTTAGGGAGGTAAGGTAGGGAGTTCGGGGTCAGGGTGTTAGGCTATCAGGGTATTAGGCTATTTCCCAGCGTCCATTTGTAGCACCACAATGCATTAGGCAACGAAAGCCCTATTTAGCATGGCTTGCAGCTTGCGGTTTCGAGTTCCAGAAGACTCCAAGCCGTAAACCCATTTTAGTTTTGTCCAAGTAATATTCCAAGAAATATTCTAACTGCTAGTTCTGGAATAATAATATTCTAACTGCTGGTTCTGGAAAACAAATATTCTAACTGCTAGTTTTGGCCCGAGGGTAAAATCTGGCCGTTTACCCTCCGCGCCACAAATATTCTAACTGGTCCCTGCCCGTTTTCCAATATTCTAACTGCTAGGTCGCCGCTATATATGTAAACAAACACCACTAAGACATGGATAGACAGAAACATGTCAGAGCCAAACACAGGCCATCCAATGGCAAAGCTCCAGCCTCCAAGTTTTTTGAGGAAGACCCTAAAGCACCAAGGCCTTGAGCCTTACAAAAGCGCTAGAAGCCCTCAACCCTTAAACCCGAAACCCTAAACCCTGAACCTTGAACCCCGAAACTCAAGGCCACACACACACACAGACACACGCACCTGGACAAGAAGGGGCTTGTGAAACCCCGCTGCCGCCCTGCCTTCTCCCCAGGGCAGATGGCCTCACTGCTCGGAAAGCTGCCTTCCTTGGATTCCCAGAAGGATGCCCTGGTCGAGTGGGCGTCCGGCTTTGGAGTTTTGAGCTTCAGGGCCTTGAGGGTTTCTAAGGGGGGGGGGCGGGGTAAGGGAGGGGGGGGGGTGGGGTGCATCCTAATCGAGCTTGAAGGTCCTTCGGAAGGCTTGTGAATTTTCAGCTCCCCAGTCAGTCCGGCATTATGAAGACTTGCCTGACTGGTTTTGAGCTTTCGTTGGGACGAGGAGGGAGGTACAAGTCTCTCAGTGCATAGCTGCGCTCTGAGGATGAGCTCACAAGGTTTCTGTGACCCCTGAACCGGCAACCTGGGTAACCCCGCACTCTTGAATCTTAAGCTGAGCTGAAGTCCTATAAAGTCTGAATACCCGCAACCCTTAAGCTGGAAACCCTGAATCGTTGAATCGTTGACCCTGAACCTTTAGCCGAGCAGCGCTTTGGAGGACCTCGACAAGCTTCTCCTCACTGTCCTTGCTGTGCCGAAGGTGCTCGAGGAGAAAGTCCACAAGCGCCTTGGCTCGGAGGGAGACACGGCCGGCCCACTTAATGGAACTATGGCGCACTACTGGCACCACAGCGTGTGCATGTTGTGTATGTCTTCTGGACATGCGTATAATTACGCCACATGCATATATACACATGTAAATATTTATACACATGCACACACGAAATGTATGTATGTACGTACATATGTATGTATGTATGTATGTATGTATGTATGTATGTATGTAACGTATGTACGAAGTCGTTGGGATGCCGCATCAGCGTTGATGCTTCGGTTTTTTTTCGTATAGACTGTGCGCTAAGCAGCCCCCCAAGCCCTGAAACCCGAAACCCTAAGTTTATAGCTTTTAAGGTTTAGGGTTTAGGGTTACAAACCAAAACTAGGATGCTCGGTCAAACGGGCTCCCTCTTTCCCTGGTTTACCGGGGATTCGAGTAAACCTATAGCCCCCTTATGAACACACAAAAGGGGTTTAGGGTTTCGGGTTTAGGGTCAACACCCCAAAAAGCCAAGGATCTTAGGCCCAGTGGAAGCCTAACCTAGAGGGCCCTCCAACCCGCACAATCTCCGCAACCACACAACCCCCAAATCTCCCAAACCCACTTCTAAACAGGGTTCAGGGTTCAGGGTTTAGGGTTTAGGGTTTAGGGTTTAGGGAGAACCCAACCCAACCCTATCTTACCCTCTTTAAACAGGGTTTAGGGTCTGGGGTGTAGGGTGGAACCCTAAAGCCCCCACAAACGAACAGAAAAGCGCCGAAACCCACCGCACGCCACAAACCCTGTAAACATTCCCAAGGCACCGAGCGCTCAACAAGCCCAACCGCCCATGTCCGTATTACGCCCCCCCAAACCCTAAAAGCCCCAAACCCTCATCAAAAACCCGCAAAATTCCCATTAGTCCTATAAACCCCAAACCCGAAACCCCAACCCTAAACCCCAAACCCGAAACCCTCGACCCCCCCCAAATCCCAAAACCCTGACTCTCATTCCTGGCACCTCCATGAGTCGAGGATGACGTCGCGGCTTGAGGCAAAAGTGGACCACCTCATAGACGAGGCCACTGCAGGAGGGAACGGAGGGTTTGGGGTTTAGGGTTTAGGGTTTAGGGTTTAGGGTTTAGGGTTTAGGGTTTACGGTTTAGGTCTTGAAGCCTGCACCTTTACCTGTTGACATGTCCAAATCCCTCACTAGTGCACCAGTTGAGAGGTACTTGGGGGTTTCGAAGGATCTACATGTAATTATCGGCGCTTGGGGTGTTTTAAGGACTTTTGGGGGTTCAGGTTTGATGTTCAAGGGGTCTAGTCAGGACATTCTGTATACAAAAAAAACGCGGCCTGATCAACCACACGACGGCCGGGCAAAGCCCGGAAAGGAAAGCAATCCGGATATCACAAAATGGGAAGCTATGCTGTTGGGTCTTCAACCCCAAACCGCGCACCCTAATGTTGACCTCGTTTTAATACCCCCCCCCCCCCCCCTCCCCCGGTGCCTTGCCCCTCAACCCAATCGAACCCCATCTTGGCAACACTAACCCCTGAACCCCAAAAGAGCCTCTAATCCCGAAGCCCCAATCACGGAAACTCAAACAAAGTAGTCGCTCTTATCTCTTAGCCTTTAACCCTCTACTACCCTAAAGTTTTAAATGAAAAAACACTTTAACCCTCTATTACCCTAAAGGAAAAAACGCTTTAACCCTCCAAAGCGGGTAACCTTTTGAGGCACCAAAACAGCCTCAAAACCCTGAGCTCCCATCGCAGAAACTCAAACAAAGTAGTCACTTTGACCCTCTAAAGTGGGTTAACCCTAAACCCTAAAACCTAAACCCTGAACCCTAAAACCGTTTTTGAGGTCACGAGGGGCGACTCGGGGCTTCTTCCGGCGGCCACCAGGCCTGGAGGTTTTGAATCTGGAGCGCTCCAAAGGGCTCTCAGAGAAAATTTATATTAGGTTTTAGGGTTTAGGGTTTACGGTTTAGGGTTTAGGGTTTGTTTCAAGGGCCTTTAAGTGGCTTGATGTTTTTTTTTTTGACGGGGCCTCTTAAAAGGGGTTTGACAGGGATTTTCAAGGGGATCTTGACGTAAAGGGATGTTTTAAACGGGCTCAAGGGGGTTCAGGCTCGAATCCTACAAAAATCTCCCAATGTCGCAAGCCTAAGCCCCAAACCTTACGCCCTAAACCCAATCCCGAAGCCTTACACCCTAGAACGCAAAGCTGGTAAGCCCTGAGTCTCTGAAACTCCAAAGAAGCTAACGACGCAACGCTCAAGACCGCAAAAAAGACAAACGATTGCCTTTCAAGGCCCAAAGCAAAAGAACATCAACAAACAGAGGTCAGAGAGAGAGAGAGGGAGAGATAAAGAAATATAGAAACACAGAATACGCAAGAAGCACACGTGCGAATCACTCCAAGAGGTAGTTCATAGCGATGATGGAAGGAGAGAGAAGAGAGGAACCCTCAACCCTCAACCCTGGCCCCAAACCCTAAACCCTGAGCCGCCGCAGGCTGCAGGAACTGCCAGCAGCCTCTGCGGAGCCAGCGACCTACGCACCTTCCCCCCCCCCCCCCCCCCCCCCCCGCCTTCCCGCCAATGGCAAGAACCGTGCTGCAGCAGGACGAAATCTTACAGAATAGAGACTTCGAAAAATAGAATCGCGAATTCATACAGAAGACGCTGCTTCCCCCCCCTTCCAGTCCAACTAGTCAAGAGTGGCTTGGTGCTGTGGAGATTTGGTACTTTAGAGGTGCAGGCTTGTTGTTGAATTAAGTTTCTCAGCTCTGAAGAGTGGTCTTCTTGACTTGATGGTCTTCCCTCCCCCCCCCCTCTCCCTGTAGAGCCCTCGAATCCGGGGGCGATGAAACCTGTACCGTTCAACCCTCCATCCAAAGCCCTACAAAGCCTAACGCCTCTTTGTTGGGCTCCTGCTTCTTGTTGCGATCCCCATTCAAGACCCACAGACCCTAACCCTAAACCCTACAAACCCTGTAAACCAAAAACCCTATAAACCCGAAACCCTATAAACCTCAACCTAAACTAAACCCTAGGGTCAAGAGATTGGTCGTAAGGTTGCCGCCGCCGCCCCCGCTGCCGCCTCCAGATACCGGGCATCCTAGCCACTGGGCCCCCCATTTTTGTCGGACCGGGAGTGGGCCCTTATTTCCTTTTTTTTCGGGTTGGGGTTCCCTTGAAACCAAAGGGGGGCACCCCTCTGATTCCTAGGTTACTCCTGGCCCTATTCTTGCGCTTGGTGTTGCAGACTACCTTGGGGGCCAAATTTGAGCCCTCAAAGGGTGTATGCTTCATATACCCTACTCGGAATTATTGCAGTAAAGGGTAATATGAACCCCACTCTGAGGGTTCACTTGGTCCCCAAGCGGGGGCATTCAGGGGCTCTTTCAGAGTTTTTTCTTGGGGGTGGAGGGCATCAGGCTGGAAGGCTTCTTGCGTTGGGGCCTGGGGCGCGCGATTCATACTCAAATCAGAGCGCGTCGGGGATTTTCATAATTTTCGGTTGTGGGATTCTGCGAGGGCTGTCAAGGAGCCAAATTAAGCAAGGCCTCAGACGACTTTAAGAACCAAAGAATTACATATTCCAAGGCCTCGCGCCGTAACAGTAATCCTTTTTTGCGTCGTTTTGTCCCTGAGTCCTTAAGCACGAAACCCTAAACCCTGAACCCCAAACCCTAACAAAAAACGCTGAAACTCCTCAGCTCCAGGCCGGGAGCCTGTGAAGAATCTTGACTCTCATGTCCACCATATTGCCCGCCGCCTCGCAGGCAGTTCTCTGCGGGATGGGTGTGTTGTTCGTTCCGCTGGCGTAGCCTCAGTGCTTCAGCGATGCTAAACCCTAAACCCTAAACCCTAAACCCTAAACCCTAAACCCTAAACCCTAAACCCTAAACCCTAAACAAATTAGTGTGGCCGCGTGACGACAAGGCATGTGTGTTCGCAAGGCTTGGGACTGGGAGGTCGGGGGAGCCCGGGGAACGGGGGTGGGAGAGGGGAGCTTTGCAGATGTATTCGAAAGATGGCATTGCCTCTGAAAACTACTATATACACATGCATATGTGGATATATATGTATGTGTATATATATATATACATGTATATGTATATGTAGGCATACTAGAAATAGAGAGGGAGAGAGGGTAAACATCATGTTGTTTTGATGGGGGCCTTGGGGTGATGTCCTTCGTGGGCTCCTCTTCGGGTTTGGGACCCTAAAGGCCCTAAAGGGTTCAGGCTCCTGGCGGTTTAAGCTGTGAGCCTACGCCCGGAAAGCTCCTGTTCCGAAACCGAAGGCTTGCAGGGCTTGTAGCTGCCCCGAACTATGAAGCCAGACGCCCGCGCCACTCCGTAGATATCAGTCCTGAAGCCCAAACCCTGTATGCTCATCAAGCAGGACTCCCTCTGTAAGCTCTTAATCCTTAGGCCGCAGTTTCTGTAACGAGACCCTAATCCCACAACCCTAAACCCTCTACACCTTGTTCTTGAACCCTACAGTCTTTTCCAAACAGCCCTGAAACCCCAATTCCCCTAAACCTCCAGAGCCCAAAACCCTAGCCCTGCAGGGCATCTTAAAGGCCTAAACCCTAAACCCTAAACCCTAAACCCTACACTTCTAGGGCTACGACTGCCGCCATCCCCGATTCGGCCGTCGCCTCCAGCCTCATCGTGCCTGGGGTCCTTCCTGACAAGAGGGACACAGGGAGTTGTTTAGGGTTAAGGGTTTAGGGTTTAGGGTTTAGGGTTTAGGGTTTAGGGTTTAGGGTTTAGGGTTTAGGGTTTAGGGTCCAGGGCTAGGTAGGCCCTTGGTATATGTTAGATGTTTCCCTTGATTGGGTTTAAGCGGATCATCCATAGGAATATTTTCAGCAGGTTTTTTCAGTGCCATCCTAGAAAAGGGGCACAGGGGCTGTTCAGGGTTTTTTCGGGGACTCAAGATGCAGTTTCGTCTGTATCCCCAAGCCTTCTGTATAAGCCCCAAGCGCAATAAAAACGTCTTCGAGCCCAGATACCTGAACCCTAAAACCCCCGAGAGCTCAACCTTAAAAAGCCCCGATGCCCTAGCCCCGAACCCAAACTCCCCCCTCCCCCCCCAACCCCCTAAACCCTAAACCCTAAACCCTAAACCCTAAACCCTAAACCCTAAACCCTAAACCCTAAACCCTAAACCCTAAACCCTACACCCTAAACCCTAAACCCTAAACCCTAAACCCTAAACCCTAAACCCTGAACCCTGAACCCTGAACCCTGAACCCTGAACCCTGAACCCTGAACCCTGAACCAAGAACCCTGAACCCTGAACCCTGAACCCTGAACCCTAAACCCTTCCCCCCCCCCCGAACCAGGTGTGTCGGATCCGTTCGCCCCAGTCCCGGAAGCTGGCCAGACGAGCGCCAGAGCGAGCCGGAGATTACCTCCAAGGAGACACCACGACTTGGTTTAGAGGTTGTTCAGGGGTTAGGGGTTTGGGGTTTAGGGTTCAGGGTTTAGGGTTTAGGGTTTAGGGTTTAGGGTTCAGGGTTTAGGGTTTAGGGTTTAGGGGCGCGTGATTACGCTTAAACCCGTGTTTCGGGAACTCGTGACTTGCATTATAGTCATTGCAGTAACGTATGCCCCCAACTGAGGGCCTTATGATTCTACTTATGGCTGGGGGGGGGAGGCCCTTCGCTGTGGATCTTTCTAGAGAAAGTTGTTGGGAATAGGGTACCTCATACCTCTTCTATAGAACTATACAACCTACGGTACCTCATATTCCCCCCTATATCCCTACGCTAGACACTAAACCTTAAACCCAAAACCCTAAACCTACGCACATAAGCCGCAAAGGGGTCCCTTTGGGTTTCGCTTGCAGGGTTTGACTGCTTAGGATAGTATAGGATAACCCAGAAAAAACACTGCTATTTTTTTCCAAGGCATACCTGAAACCTTATAAACCCTAAACCCTGCACTGTCTTGAGGTTCAGGGAGGAGAAACAAGTAGTGTGTGTGTGTGTGTGCATATACATAGGTAACAACAACATCGGAGAGTTTTTTGCTGTTTCAAGCACAGCTGAGTAGAAGCCTAGGCCCAGAAACTGTTGGGCACATAAAGAACATGCGCCGAAGCCAAAGACCTTAAGCTCTGAACCCTAACCCTTTATAAGGCCTAAACCCTGAACCCTAAAGCCTAAACCCTAAACCCCAAACCCTACACCCTAAACCCTAAACCTTACACCCCACTAAATCCAACGCCCAAGCCAGGACATGCTGCCTCCTCCCTGGGAAGCAGCAAAGCCTGGTAGAAGCAGCGACGGGACCTGGCTCTCACTTCTTTTGCCTGGCTTTCAGGGCTTATGCCTTTAAACCTTAAACCCTATCCCCTAAACCCTAAACCTTGAACCCTAAACCATTTGCAGGATGGCACGCGTGGTGGAGGCGTTGCTTTACATCTACTGGCAGCACTGGGTCTTCCTTCCCATCCAGGCCCCTTTTTCTGCCCCAACGATGCAGAAGCCTCTGAAAATCCTATTGCCCTCATTTTTTTTTCAGAAAACCCCCGCATGTAAACCCTTTAAACCTAAAAAACCCGAAACTCAAGCAAGGCTCATGGAACTTTGGGTTGTCGGAGTTGGGCTTTGGTCACACCCGAGGAGTCCCCCCCTTCTCATCCCATTCCATTTGTAGCAGGGGCCAAGCCCTGAATTTGGGATTGTCCCCCTTTTTCTAACAGTCCTTAATAGGGATTACGGATTACAACCCTAAATCCCAAAAAACCAGAATCCCACAAGCCCACAATTTCTTTCCCGATAGGTTGCTGGGGCAGCAAGTCAGGGACAAAGGGGTGGTTTCGCGAATGTTGGGCATCTAATTCAGGGTGTTGGCGCAGCATATACATATACACATATATATATATATACATGTATGTATATATTTATATATGCATACAATTTTGCCTGGCTGTCCACATGACAGAACTTGACATCTAGAATGAAGGCATATCTTGCCCGAAACCCTACATAAACCCTGTGTAAACCCTGAGCAGCATGATTGATCATGTCATGCCGGGCTGGCGTCTCGAGCGCAGTACATTTCCGAAGGCTTAGGGGACCAAGAAAACGTCCTGCCTTGAGTCCTTGAGCGATAGACATCCAAAAAACTACTGGAAAACCCTAAAACATGACCTGCGGTGATGGGTTTTAGGATTTAGGGTTCTGGGGTTAGGGTTTAGGGCTTGTTGTGTAGAGTATGTATGTATATATATATATATATATACAGTCAGTTCTCTACATGAGGGCCCTTTTTGGGTACCCTAAATAAGAGGGGCCACCTTCTAACAGGGACTCCTACATTCTAGAGACGTGGCCATACATGAAAGTCCATCAGTTGAGGTGATCATGGCGAAACTTGAGAGCGCGGGCTTCTTCCTGAATGTGGGCTGGCTGGCATTGGGTTCTCGGATGTCATTTTTTTTGGTTTCTTTTGAGGCTTCGGTTTTTTCGGGCTTCGTTTTTTTTTTTAAGGTTTCAAGTTGGGTTTTTTCCGGGTTTGGGTTGTTGAAGGCTTTGTCAATCAAATGTTGGGAGGGAATCAGAGTTTGAGGTGGCATGGGGCAGAGTTGTCCTTTGGGTTTTCGGCTGCCCCTACTCTAACAGGCCCCAAGTAGAACTAGGATGCCCAGTAGTACCCTTATTCCCTTTTTTGGGGGGGTTTAGGTTCCCTTATAAACCCCTTTAAGCAAAAAAGGGCACCCTTTTTAAGGCCAGGTTATTGGGCAGCCTAGTAGAAGGTTCGTTCTGATACCTTCTGGATGAAGCAAGCGTACTAGAAAACAAAGGTAAATGCACTGGTCATGCCTGTCAACTTTGGGCCCCTAACACAGGACGATGCATTGAAAGAACCCGCCCCCCCCCCCCCCCCCCAAAAAAAAAAAAAAAAAAAAGGAAAAAAAAAAACAGGAAATACAAAACGGGGGGCGGGGAACAGATGTAAATCTGAGGCCTCATCCCCAAAACCCTGAACGTCAACCTACAGCCCTACACCCTTGTGATACCCGAGCCTTGCAACCCTATGGCCCTATGAATTACTAAACACAAAGAATCAAGTCCACGTGACTTTATTGAAGAACAATGGAAGCCCTTTTTTCAGGGCTTGTCTACTAATTAGGTTGCCAGTACCCCAAGAAGACCATATTTTCGGACACGAAAGTGTACTAGAAAGTATACTGGGACCGGGAGTAGGCCCTTGTTTCCTTTTTTATGGTTGGGGTTCCCTTGTAATCCCCTTAAAACCAAAAAAGGCACCCTTTTTATTCCTAGGTACTTCCCGGGTCTAGCATACGGTCTCAAGAATTCGGGCAAGAACCAGCACACCCTAAGAGACGCAAAGCCCCAAGCTCGAGGCCCTGAACCCTACATACCCGAAACCGAAGCCCACCCTCCCGCCCCTGAACCCTAAACCCCAAACCCCAAACCCTAAACCCTATAAACCCTATAAACCCTGTAAACCCTGTAAACCCTAAAACCCATAAATCCCATGAACCCCAGAAACCCTAAACCCTACAAACCTGTAACCCCATAACCCTAAACCTAAACCCTCAACCCTGAACCCCAAAACAAGCCCTAAAGCCAGGCCAGCGAACAGGATCTCCTCGACGACCTGCGGCGCGAGCTGCTGAGGAGGGACCTTCCCGCCAGGCCCGTCCACGAAGGGTTTACCACGGGTGTTTAGCTTTGGAGGATTTTCGGGATTTTAGGGTTCTCAGGGTTTTAAGGGCTTAGGTTGTTTTTCGGGCTTTTGATGATTTTTCGGGTTTTTGTGGGCTTTTGGGGATTTTGTTTAGGGTTTTTGGGGGTTTAAAGGGCTTTAGGGTTGTTTTCAGGCCCGCTCATCAAAGTTATGCGACATCACTGAAGCGACCACGAAGGTTTTGAGCTTTTCCGGTTGTTTTGGGGTGTTTTACGGTTTGTAGGACTTCTAGGGCGTTTAGCGTTTTTAAGGGGTTGTAGGGTTTTTAGAGGGTTTTTGATGGTTTTGAGGGCTTTTAGGGGTGTTAGGGCGTTTGGTTTGTTTAGTTAGTGTTTTTAGGCGTTTGGGGTTTTAGGGTTTCTAGGGTTGTGGAACAAGTACAAGCGTTTTTTTTTCTGCGTATTTGGTTGCAGTCCTACACAGGTGAGAGGGGTGGCAACTCTAAACCAGAAATCCCTCAACACTAAAGTTGCTAGTGCGCCCACATCCTTAAATCGCTCAAGTTGAAAACTTGAACCCTACATCCTTAAGAAGTCCTAAGCCTCAAGTTCTGATCCCTTGTTCCTGGCGAGGCAAGACCGCCTCAGAGAACCTGCAGAGCTTGCCAGGGGCAGGCTGAGCTGAGCCAGGGAGCTGCCAGGAAGCGATAGCGCACAGCCACAGATCTAGACTTGATGGGGGGCTGTAGGGGGCTCCAGTTCATATTCCTAAACTCCGAAGCCCGAATCCCTGCACACTACACCCTAAACTGTTGTGGGGTTTGGGGCTTGTGGTGCATATAGGATACCCCCAGAGCCCGAGATTCTGAAATTCCTGAGCTGTACAAGAAAGCCCAGTGGTGCGAGCCACAGGGTGGTGAGCGCCGGCCCTTATCAGCTTGCACATTTTGTCAGGTTCAGGGTTAGGGTTTAAGATTTAGGTTTAAAGTTTAGGGCGTCTATATAGGCTTAGACCTCTTAGTTAGAGGCCCTCTTCGTACAACTTCTGTGCAGTGGTAACGTGCTGAGCCCAACACCCCACCATCACTTTGTCGGAAGATTGCATGCGGTCAAGAATTTGTAGGGCCACAAAGCAGGGCCCCTGTACCAATAAAGTTTTCCAAGCGTCGTAATTTGCGACGTGGGGCGAAAGTTGTGGGAGACCTCTAGAAGGCGGCTGGCGCGAGGATTCAGAGTGGGAAGCTGAGCGTTCCTGTTACACTGCGCAGAGACCACGCACAACCGGTATACAATGTTTCCAAAAATCATCCTGTGCTGACGTACATTTGGCCAAGTCTCCCTCAGCAATCCCCTGTACAGCTACCGCACCACCCTAACCCCCAAAAGACCCTAACAAAAAACCTAAAACCTCTTAATGCCCTAAGCCCCCCAGAACCCTAAACCCTCATAGCCCCAAATTCTGAGCTCCTTTTAGACCTTAAACCAGATGGGGCGCGGCTTTTGCTCCCCAACACGGGAAGCGAAACGCCTTGCCTCGGAAGCCTGCGGCTCCAAGCCACCGCAGTTTAAAGTGAGGTTCAGGGTTTTGGGGAGTAGGGCTTAAGGAGTGCGGGGGTTTAGGAGGTGAGGTAGTGGTTTTGGGGAGTAGGGCTTTAGGAGTGCAGGGGTTTAGAAGTTTAGGGGATGAGGAATTTTAGATGTCTAGCGTCTAAGGTACTAACGTACCACAGGGGCCCAGAATGCGCCAGAATTTCGAACCCTCCCCGCATTTGGGGGGGGCTCAGGGTCGAAGGTTTCGTTGAGGGTTTAGGATGTAGGGTTTAGGGTTGTGAAGCGTTGTTTTGGGGCCCTGGTGTTCTGGTGGCAGCGATTTTTTTTTTTTTTGGGGGGGGGGCTATAGTATTATGGGACCCTCAAATCACCCCTGAGTGTAGCAATTCTACTGGATGAACCCTAAACCCTACACCCTAGACCCAGTTCCGGAGGAAAGGTCTTTCGGTCTTTCAACATAAGAATTTCAACCTCGGAGCCCTAAAAATATGGCGCGCTAACTTCCAAGCCTCTTATCGTCCCCTAAACCCCAAACCCAGCACCAAAGCCCTTGTTACACCCTAAACCCTAAACCCTAAACCCTAAACCCTAAACCCTAAACCCTAAACCCTAAACCCTAAACCCTAAACCCTAAACCCTAAGTCAGGGCTTGGGGGGGCCCTGTAAAGGTGCATTCCCACTGTGCCCCCCTTCCACCCGTAAGAACCCAGCCGAGCCCAGGAGCCCTCTGCACCGGCGAGAAGGGCTTCGGCTACAAGGACTTTTTTCCGGAGAGAGAGACATTTTTTTCGACTTGGCCTAGTAGGGTTTATAGGGGTTCATGAGCTAGAAAAGCCTAAACGCCCCGCAAAACTCAACCCATCTTTCTAGAGAGCAGCCTTGAGAGTTTTTTGGAAGCGCTCAAGTCCCCAAGATCTCAGAGTGCTTGGGGGGAATTTTTGTGATGAGTTGTTTAGGGTTTAGGGTTTAGGGTTTAGGGTTTAGGGTTTAGGGTTTAGGGTTTAGGGCTTGAGGCCTGGGATTTGAGTTCAGGGCTTATGGTGACGATGCTAGAAGGCACTCGCGAGTAACCTGTTCAGTCATTGCATCTCATTTAGGTCTTTAGGGGTTGTAAGTCCAGGTACAGCTACCCTACTGCAAACCTCTGTGTATCACGAACCTTCAAGTCTGAGCCCTAAGCCTATTAGGGTTTGCGTAGAGTTGTTTCTTTCTGTTTTCTTGTCCTTTCATTCTTCTTTCTTTGTCTCTCTCTCCCTCTCTCTACATGCTCATACCTTGAAAAGAACCACGGGGACCCAAAACGAGGACAGGCCCAATTCCCTAAGCCATTTTAGCAGAGGTGCTGAGAGACCTGGCTTTTTGTGCACAGGCTTTTTTCCCCCAAAAACCAGGCCTCGGCTCTTTATGTACGAGGCGAGCTCAAGTTCCTTATTCATAAATCAAACTCGGAACCCCCCAAAAAAACAAAAAAGAATCTCTATATATATATATATATGTATATAATATATATATATATATATATATATGCCTGGTCTCTCACTCATGCCATCGCATGCTGAAACAATCCCGCCAAGCTGCGTGGTTCGGAAGGAAGGGGGCGTCGAGTGCTACTCGTAACCGTGGGTTTTCTTACGTTCTGATTCCCTACGGGCTGAGTCATGGACGAGCTTGAGGGCTACTGCAAAAGCATTGCCGGAACCCCTCAAAGAAACGCCCACCCTAAACCCTAGACCCTAAACCCTGAACCTTGAACTCTGAACCCTGAACCCTAAACCCTAAACCCTAAACCCTAAACCCTAAACCCCTCATGAAGCCTTTCTGCCACGTGCTCCTGCTGGCCTACTTGGCACCCGGAATCTCCTGGTCCGAGAAGCTGCCTGCTGCGGCAATCCTGGAAGCCCGGAAGTGATTATCTTTTCCCAAACCTCTTAGGGTTTAGGTTTAGGGTTTAAGGTTTAGGGTTTAGGGTTTAGAGTTTAGGGTAAACCCTGATAGCCTTATAACCGAAACCCCAGCCCCTATAAACCCTGAACCCTAATGACCCCCTGGTTCTTAGTAGGGAGTGAGGGATTAGGGGACGTATATAATCCCTTCAAGGGTACATGTAGGGCCCTCATTCCCTCATTCCCTACAAAGAACCAGCCAGATGATTAATGGCCAAGGAATCCTAGGTAGGATAAGGTGGACCCTTAAAAGGGAACCCTTATGAACCCTCTTCTGGCTCTCTTAAACAGGGACCTTATTCAGAGGGTCGATGTCCCCAAGGGTCCCGCTAATCCTAAACCCTAAACCCTAAACCCTAAACCCTAAACCCTAAACCCTAAACTACATCCTGTCCCCTATAAGGAAGAGCTGCTCAGCAAACCGGAGCACACAGCTTATGTCGCGCGACTCCTGGATTCCTTTGCCGAGCGCCAGCTTGCCCCCTTTCAGGCAGCCCTAAACCCTAAACCCTAAACCCTAAACCCTCAACCCTCAACCCTCAACCCTCAACCCTAAACCCTAAACCCTAAACCCTAACCCCCCTTTCAGGCAGGGATCGACCAGGCGCAACTGAACATGCTCTATCTGTGGGACGATGAGCTTCTTGCTAGCCCACTGGTGCCATTTTGCACTTTGTTGTTTTGGTTCAAGGTTCCCTTATAGAGTAACCAGCCCCAAAAAGGGTACCAGTCTTTTCATATGGGGGTATACGAAAATAAGGGACCCCCAAAATAGACCCCAAAATAGTAGGATTTCCTTATAATAAGGACCCCAGTAAGGTACCCCTCATACCAGAAACTCACCCTAAACCCTGAACCCTAAACCCTAAACCCTAAACCCCCCTACTGGGCGACCAAGGCTTGGCCATGGGTTATTGAGAATTCGAGTTTTAGGCGGCCGGGTGTTCGTCCGCAAGCTTCAAGGAACGCGTGTTCGCGGAGAGCTCTGGAGCGACAGGCAGAAGGGAGGGTTTAGGGTTTAGGGTTTAGGGTTTCGGGTTTAGGGTTTCGGGTTTAGGGTTTAGGGTTTAGGGTCCAGGGTTCAGGGTTTAGGGTTCTTAAGGGAGGGGGGTTCAAGGGTGGCAGGCACCTAGGGAACCTTGGGGAAGCATAGGGAGCCTTGAGGGAGTAGTTGGAAGTATAAGGGAACCTTGGGTCACATACCCCCCTCGACCCCCCGCCCTCGCAAGAACACCACAAAGGCAGCTGAAGTATTTAGAGGGACTTCTGTCCGTGGTGGAGACCGAGCAGCTTGAAGACGTGGACTTCGTTGTAGCTTGGCAGTGCAGTGATTCCCTTGTCCCTTTTGTTGTTGAGCTCAAGGTCCCCTTATAAATTAACAACCCCACAAAAAGGGTGCCCTTATTGTAATGATTTTTGGGTCAAGGTCCCCTTATGAATTTTGTAATTTGGTTACGGGGTCTACCAAGGTAAGCTTGCTTGACAACCCTGTGTGCGAGTTCTTCAAGAATGGCCTGGCGATGCCCGTGATGGTCTTTGCCAAGACTCCAAGCTGCCAAAACATCCTGGTGCCAGACCACAGCCTGATGCAGGATGAGTACCTTGCCTTTAAACTTTAAACCCTAAACCCTAAACCCTAAGCCCTAAGCCCTAAGCCCTAAGCCCTAAGCCCTAAGCCCATAGCCCTAAACCCATAACCCTAAGCCCTTGCAGACAAAGCCACCTCAGAGGTCACCCGGTCGAAAGCCCTAAGCCCCAAACCTCAAACCCTAAACCCTATTGAGCGGCTGTCTAGGCTTAGGATTAGGAGCTGAGTTGCAGGGTTTACCTAAACCCCAAACCCCAAACCCCAAACCCTAAACCCTAAACCCTTTTCAGTAGTAGCTCGGAGGTACCAGCACAGCGTCTTCGGAAGCAACTTCGGCTGGGCTGCTGTCGTTGGCAAGGCCACCTTTGGGAGCCCTATACCTTAGGGTTTAGGGGTTAGGGTTTAGGGTTTAGGGTTAAGGGTTCAGGGTTTGGGGTTTAGGGTTTAGGGTTCAGGATTCAGGGTTTGGGGTTTGGGGTTTCGGTTAATCCTCAACACTCTATCGTTGATATCGATATGATATAGTGCATAGCCAGTTCTTATATGCTATATCTCTCACTATATATATATATATATATAATATCTCAAGGACGTCTCAACCCCAAACCCGAACATCGGCGGAAGGGTCCCGTCAACTCCCCGGAACCAAAAGCAGCTAAAAGCTCCCGACCCGAAAGCATCTTCGGCTGCAAAGCCCCAAGGCCCCAAGGCCCCCAATGCCCCAAGGCCCCAAGGCCCCAAGCCCTAAACCCTAATAAAACAGCTCAGAGCGCTCAGCCCTACACCCCCTGAGCTCCTTAGCCTTTTGGGCATTGCAGGGCTTAAATGCTTGAAGGGCCTTCAACAGGGCTTCAAGGGCGTTAATCGTCTAAGGGTTTCAGGGGTCCAAGGGCTTGAAGGATCTATGGGCTTTGATAAGGACTGAAGAGCTTTAAGGGATAAGGGTTGGGGTGTTCTCCCCTTATACGTGCAGTCCTGAACAAGGATTGTAGCATCCCCCCCCATTGTAATCCCTATTCAGGACTGCTAGTATAAGGGAGGGAACAACCCTAAACCCTAAACCCTAAACCCTAAACCCTACAACTTGAAAACCCTAGGGTTCTTCCTTTGGAAGATGTAGGGTTCGCGGAAGTCCTGTCAGCCGCCAGAGGCCCTGCAGCACAAGTGGAGGGACCGGGCGCCAGGCATCTTTTGGGATGGCGACCTTTGGTTGGCTATTTAGGGTTTAGGGTTTAGGGTTTAGGGTCTAGGGTTTAGGGTTTAGGGTTTAGGGTTGATGGTTCTTAGGGGAGTGGGTTCATGGGGGGGTAGGTACCTAGCGAACCTTAGGGAAGCTTAGGGAGCCTGAGGGAGGAGTGGGGATTATTAGGGAACCGGTTTTGTGTGTAGGGCCTAGGGTTGAGGCTCCAGGCCTTGCGGTGAGGGTCCAGGCTTTAGGGTTGAGGCTTCAGAGGCTAATCCAGGGGTCGCTAAACCCTAAGAGAATTGGAGTCCTCAACCTGACGCCCAAAAACCCTCAACCCTAAACCCTAAACCTCTACAAGTTGAGTGGTTGCCTTTAAGGATGCAGTGAGTGCCACCTTAAACACTCAACCCTCTGAAGACCTAAGTCCCATACCCTGGGCCAGGCTACAGTAGACGGCCTTCGACTTTGAAAGTTTCGGAGACAGGGTCGGTCAGTAGTCCTAGTGTTGGGCTACACCCCAAACCCTAAGCCCTTAAACCTACAACCTTCATCCTCGAGCCCTAAACTTATAGGGTTTTTAAATGAGGGGGGTTCAAGGGGGGTAATTATGTAACCCAAGGTTCCATACTACTCCCCACTACTCCCTAAGGCTCCCTAAGCTTCCCTAAGGTTCCCTAGGTACCTACCCCCCATGAACCCCCTCCCTTCAGAACTCTACTAAACCGACTAAACCTTAAACCCTAAACCCGAAACCCTAAACCCTAAACCCTCCTCCAACTCCTCAGCTCAGGACTTCGGGAAGCACCAGCGGCGTGGACTGGCGCCGCTGCGGCCATCGCTGGTGATGGGCCAACGCAAGCCGTTGAAGCAGTGGAGCCTCCGGGTTTGAAGGTTTGGGGTTTAGGGTTTAAGGTTTAGGGTTTGGGGTTTAGGGTTTGGGGTTTAGGGTTTGGGGTTTAGGGTTTCGGGTTTGGGGTTTAGGGTTTGGGGTTTGGGGTTTGGGGGTGGGGGGTTCGGGTTTGGGGGTTGGGGGTTTAGGGTTTTGGGGTTTGGGGTTTGGGGTTTAGGGTTTGGGGTTTAGGGTTTCGGGTTTGGGGTTTGGGGGTTGGGGGGTTTGGGGTTGGGGGTTTAGGGTTTGGGGGCTTAGGGGTTTGGGGTTTAGCCTCGGGGGTTTGGTTGATTTATGAGGCTGCTGGTGCTTGTGGATGGGAGTACCCTCGGCCCTAAATCTTGCTCCAGGAACATGACCTAAACCCTAATCCCTAAACCGGAAACCCTAAACCCTAAACCCTAAACGCTTGCTCCAGGAACATGGACGTGTATACCTCGCCCTCGGACCACTGCTCCTATCAGCGGAGCTTGAATGCCCAAGGCAACACCTGGAGCATGCGCCTGAAGACCCTCATGCTTCTTTTCAGTCGCCCTTCGTTCTGTTGTGTTTAGGGTTTAGGGTTTAGGGTTTAGGGTTTAGGGTTTAGGGTTTAGGGTTTAGGGTTTAGGGTTTAGGGTTTAGGGTTTAGGGTTTAGGGTTCAGGGTTCAGGGTTTAGGGTTTAGGGTTGCAGGTTTAGGGTCGCTTTTAAGCACACGTTTTCATCAAGTAGAGTCTTCGGCTCTCCTTTCCAGGAACATCCTCTTGTGTGGCACGGCCGCCATCTGGTTCCTGCCGCGTCCTTCGATGAGATATGCAGAGTACCCTGGGGACCAAATGAACCCTCAAAGGGTTTATTCATGGGTTTCCCTACCCCCCCCCCCCCCCCTATACTACCCCCCCTAGGTGCCCCCCTTAAACTAGCTTAATTTTAGGGATCCCCAAGGTATTGGTATGATGCCTTGGAAGAGAACAAGCACTACGTTGCCCTCCGCGAGCCTTAGAAAAATTTGGGGAAGAACTGAGCCCTGAAAATGGGTTGGAGTCCTGAACACCATGCTAGGATATGGCAATCCCATCTCAGCGTCCTGTGTGCGGAATTAAGGTTACCCATACTGCAATAATCCCTGCCAGGGGTGCAGTTCGTCCAAAGGCAACCCTGTCAAACCCCTATTCTCTAAAGCTCAAACCGGAAACTCCTCAAACTTCACACCCCAACCCCTAATATAAAACAACCCTAATCCCTAAGCCCTAAGCCCTAAACCGTAAACTCCTCAACTTTACACGCTACATGACATCTTGGCCAGAGAAGGAAGAGGAAGCGCGGACGGACATGGAGGCCATCCTTAAGCTAGAAGATCGGAACCTTGGATTATGAGGGTTTGGGGTTTGGGGTTCAGGGTTTAGGGTTTAGGGTTTAGGGTTCAGGGTTCAGGGTTTTTAGTGTTTAGGGAGAGGGTTTAGGGCTTGGGGTTCGTGGGATAAGATGATCCCTGACAGGGTTGTCGGGTCGAGTTCCCGCGACGTTCGTAACTTCAGCAAGGGTTATAGTAGCAGCGTGGGGTTTCAGGGTGGAGAGTACACAGGGTCCACAAGCTATCATCTTGCATTGTTGGGCGCGTAGTTTTTTTGTTCAGGCTTCGACAGCCGACAAGACGTTAATGTGATCCGCATACTAACAGTCCTTCATCGGGATTATGGTACCCCCTATTAGAGCAATCCCTACGAAGGACTGTTAGGATAAGGGGGATCATCCCAAGTTTAGGGCCTTTACTTGAAGGTTCAGGGTACTTCTTAACCAAATATAACTGTACTTATAACCCACTTATATGCCCCTGAAGTGCCCTAATATTGTTATGATTTTGGTTATAAGTGCAGTTGTAGCAAATATGGCTCTAATTTGGGTTATACGTACAGTGATGCTTGGTTACTAAGTACCCTGAACCTCCAAAACCCTAAACCCTAAACCTTAACCCTAAACCCTAAACCCTAAACCCTAACCCCCCTAAACCCTAAACAGCAGGGTTTCACTCAGCAGCCCAAGGAAGCTACGGCTCATCGCACAGCGCGGCTTCAACCGCACTGCAGCCGTCTTGAGACCCTGGGCCGTGCGCAGGTCGGGGGGGGGGGGGGGGGGGGGGGGGGTGGCTTTTCTTCTACCTGGAAGTTCATAGGTATATAGGGTTTTTATGAGGTTTATAAGGTTTTCAAGGCTGCTAGGGTTTGATAAGGCTTGGGTACTTATAACCCCAATGATAAGTCTACTTATAACCTGCTTAGAGGACTTTGGGGCTTGTAAGTGCAGATATAATTGGAGGTTTCCGAATTGTAGGGGGACCTGATTAGGGGTCCTTGTTATAAGGGAACGCCTAGTATTTGGAGGTTGATTATAGGGGTCCCTGTTTTTCGTAAACTCCTATATGCTTCAGGGACCTCATAGTCATGCTCCCAGAACTTTTAAGGACTCGTTTACTAGGTCCTTGCTGATAAAGCCAAAAAGCTGCAAGAACACCCTAAGCCCAAAATAATTCCTCCTACAACCCTAAAGCTGAAATTAGTTACCCCTCAAGCCTTAAACCCCCAGTTTAAACCGTGCGGGTAGCAACGCCAGGTATGTCGGGGCGCTGTTACGGCGATACGCCGCCTTGCAAACCTTTAGCCCAGCAGCCGTGCACGCCACAGACGCCGCGGATTTCCGAGAGGTCGCTCATGCTGCTAAGCCCGGGCGAACCCATTATAATCCCCATGGTAAAACCCTACAAGATACCCCATGACCCCGGCTCTCGGTTCGCCAGCCCCTCCCCCCCACCCCAATGGTACCCCCCCCTTGCCTCTTCCGACAGGTCACTCGCAGCACGCTCGCAATTGTGCAGGGTCACTGGCAGGCCCTCGGCGCCTGGGGTCATATTTCAGGGGGGCAGGGATATGGAGACGCACCAAAGCCTAGAAGGCTTGCACCTGAAGGTCCATACACTTCCAAGGATTCATCCGATCTCTGTGTTCACATCCCCCAAAGTAATGAGCGTTGCGCAAGACACGTTCACCTCAGTGGGGAATTTCAGGGCTTGAGTGGTAGTGTGAATGTTTCGGAAGTCTGCTTCGAGAGTAATTAAACAAAAAGACACCTAAACCATCGCTGTTTGAGGAAGCCAGACTAGCGCTTTAATCCAACCCGCCCCCCCCCCCCCCCCCAAAAAAAAAAAGAGCAAACACAAACGAATGAGCAAAAATCAAAAGATATATAAATGAAAGAAAATACATCAACCAAATTTGAAAACGAATATGTGTGTGTGTATATATATATATATATATTCCACTGAGGTGCTCAGCATTTTCACTTCCACTACGCCGAGAGAGAGGACCTCTCGGAGGGAAGCCTGTCAAGAGCGCTGGAGCTCCGGAGCCTCGACCAGCTTCCCTGTGCCCCGGCTTGAGGTGAGTTAAGACGGCTCGCGGGTTGAGGAGTAGATGTTGCAAGCCCTACATCCTAAACCCTAAATCCTAAACCCTATAAATCCTCGGGAGGCGATTTCCCGATGCTTAGGAGGCTTTTGCTGTGCAGACTGCATTTAGTTGGGTTGGGCACGTGGGCTTCTTCAGGGATCAGGTTCTTGGAAAAAAAACCTAAAATTGGGGTCATATAGCCTATGCCACCATAATTCCTATTATAAGGTAGGTGCCCAAGGTTCTCGTGGAAGTTTTTGCTGTGTGCGGCGGTTCCCGCCCCGATAACTCCAGCGCCTGAAGTTTTGGGGCTGCTGCCCGAAACCCTAAACACTCAAACCCTAAAACTCTAAAACCTTAGACCCTAAACCTTAAGCCCTGGAGGGTCTGAAGGGTAGGGTTTGGGTTTAGGGCTTAGGATGTAGGGTTTAGGGGGCCCTAAAACCTAAACCCTAATCCTTCAAGAACCTAACCTCTAAACCCTAAACCCTAAACCCTAAACCCTCCAATACTTCCCAAAGAGTCACAAGGCTGGGGCACCGTGCGGCGCTACATCCGGTGCCTTGGGAACGACATGAACCCTGAAAGGGTTTGTGCTTCATATACCTTCATGGGAATTATAGTAGCCCTAAACCCTAAACCCTAAGCCCTGAGCCCTAAACCCTAAGCCCTAAACCCTAAACCCTAAACCCTAAACCCAATTTTAGGGTTCATTTGGTCCTTAAGGTGCTGCCAGCCCTCGAACGTCTGGAGATATGCGCTGGACGGCAATGCCGCCTCAGGGCCACTCCACCCTTTCTGCGTGCCTTGCGGGGGATGTGGTTTAGGGTTTAGGGTTTAGGGTTTAGGGTTTAGGGTTTAGGGTTTAGGGTTTAGGGTTTAGGGTTTAGGCTCGGACCGGGAGTAGGCCCTTTTTTCCTTGTTTTAGGGTTGGGGTTCCCTGATAATCCCCTTAAAAACCAAGAAGGGCACCCTTGTTATTCCTAAGCTACTCCCGGGTCTAGTTGGTTTAGGTTACAAGGTCTTAGTCTAGGGTGTCCCGTTTGGGTGGTTCGCATCAAGAGGTACATCTGCCTCTTGATTCCTGCCCAAAAAACCCTAGGAGCCCCAACAAAGCCAGGTCGACGGCCCACCAGCCACCAGTAGCCCTTTATGATGGTTAGAGGCTCTCGAACTTGGGGTGTAGGGCTTCGGATTTGGGGTGCAGGGGTTACCCTAAACCCTAAACCCTAAACCCTAAACCCTAAACCCTAAACCCTAAACCCTAAACCCTAAACCCAAAGAGCACTTGGGTCGAAGACGCAAGGTGGCGCCCAGCACCGACCCGAAGCAAACGTGGCAGTTCTGCTGCGCGGCGGCGGCTGGGCGCATGGAGGAGCCGAGGGACGTGAGGGGTTCTGGAGGGGTTGCGTAGGTGTATAGGGACTATTATACTGTATTTAGGGTTTTGGAGGTTATAAACACCCTATTGTCATGTATATGGGGGTTTTATGGGGGAGTAAGATTAAGGGTCGTTTCTAGGGGTGCCTCCTTATACTATCTTCATGTGTGTGTATATATGTATACACGTTATATAATGCGTATATACATATAGGGGTTATATGGGTTAGTAAGATTAGGGGTCCCTTCCAGGAAGTGCCTCCTTCTGCCACTAAAGAGGAGCTCTTCCGCCTGGCACTTCCCAACCATGCGCCAGCGAAGCTCCTTAAGGACGTCGACGAGGCCTTCGACCCAAGTACTCTTTGGGTTTAAGGTTTAGGGTTTAGGGTTTAGGGTTTAGGGTTTAGGGTTTAGGGTTTAGGGTTTAGGGTAATTCTGGGAACCACATGAGCCCTAAACAGGTGTAGGGTTTAGGGTTTAGGGTTTTTGGCTCATATACCTTATGATAGGAATTGTAGATGGGGTATACGAACTCAATTTTGGGGGGCTCTTGGGGCCCCGAGGAACTAAGCCTTCTACATAGGGTAGCTCCCCGCTGACCCGAAGAAGTACCAGTCGTCAAGAGTTTGGTGCGCCAAAATCGGGAGCTGCAATTGGGACCTGGGTGCCCATCCCAGCAACTTATCCTGTTTGCGGTTCCGAATGCTTGCAAAAAAGACTATAGTACTGGTTTGGGAAAACTGTTTTGACAGTATTTTGTGGCTTCTTCTTCAAGGATCGTCGCACCAAACCCCAAACCCCAAACCCTAAACCCTAAACCCTCAGCCCCTCTTAGGTCTTTCTGGAGCTGGACCTGTCATTAGACCAGAGTCTCCACTTGCTGGAAACCGCGCGGGATGCCGCGGTGCATGCTGTGATGAACCTGTGACGCCATGGCTTGGGTTTAGGGTTTATAAGGGGTTAGGTGGTTAGGGGGGTTAGGGTTAAGGGGAACACACGCTTTTGCCCCCAAAGTCATGCTACAAGCCCCCCCCCCCCAAACAAAAGAAAAACAAACACGAAGCCCCAAAGACCCTCATACGCCCAAAGCCATCACAACTAAATCCCTAAACCGCCCAAGAAAACGAACGCTAGACAGCCGAAGCTCAACCGAAAAGGCCTGGAGCCTAACTCCAAAGCACCCTAGATGCAAATAGGCTAAACGCCCGAGAACCCTAAACTCCTAAACGTCCACACTCAAACCCTGAAGCTGTAGATTCCCCAGCCCCCTTACCCACCCCGAAGCCCCTGGCGACTCAAGCCTGTACAGCCGTGAGAAACGCTCAAAACACCCTAAACCCTAAACCCTAAACCCTAAACCCTAAACCCTAAACCCTAAACCCTAAACCCTAAACCCTAAACCCACTGATGGGCAGCAGAGGAGCTTCGATTCGCCCCAGAAGCTCTCGAGCAGTGCCGAAGGGAGGATTGAGGCTCTGCTTCTGGGCGTTTTTTTGGGTTTAGGGTTTAGGGTTTAGGGTTTAGGGTTTAGGGTTTAGGGTTTAGGGTTTAGGGTTTAGGGTTTAGGGTTTAGGGGCTTCAGAGTGTAGGTCTGGAGGGTTTCTCCGGCTTTAGGCTGTGGGGGTTCGGGGTTTAGGGTCTTTGACTCTTTGGCTCACCTTGTCGTCGCTTAACTTCACTTACCTATCCAAGACCTTAACAATTTGACTCTATGCAAAAGTAAAGCTCTCAACTTTCTAGTATTTTCCCTACCCCGCACGCAAGCCCTGGACCCTAAAGAAGAAAACCCTAATCCCGAAACCCTAAGCCCTAAGCCCTAAACCCCAAACCCTAAACCCTAAACCCTACCACTCAGGCTGAACAGGGCCTGGTTCTTTGAAGAGGTCGTGAAGGCTGCCTGCACCGCCCGCTGCAACGAAGGAAAATGCAGTCAGAGCCCGACCTTCGGCATCGGCAGAAGGGTCCCGTAAGGGTTTAGGGTTAGGGTTTAGGGTTTAGGGTTTAGGGTTTAGGGTTAAGGTTTAGGGTTTAGGGTTTAGGGTTTAGGGTTTAGGGTTTAGGGTTTAGGGCTCAGGGCTTAGGGCTTATAGGGGTTAGGGTTTAGGGTTTAGGGTTTAGGGTTTAGGGTTTGGGACTTTGTGGTTTGGGGCTCAGGGTTTAGGACTTTGTAGTTTAGGGTTCAGCTTCTATGGGGCTTCGGGTTTTGCTTCGCGGTTGAGGGTTTAGTGATGAGGGTTTGGGAGCTGGGTGGGAGTCGTGGAACCCCAAAACCCTACTCCTTCCCCACGCCTGAACATGCCCTAAACCCTAAGCCGTAAACCCTAAACCCTAAACCCTAACCCTAAACCCTAAACCCTAAGGTGGAGCTGCAGCGAGATGGGGCTCCTGCAGACGCTCCACTCGAAGAGGCAGCTGCACCGCGCGAGCTTTCCGGCCCCCCGCTCGGGACTGGGCGGGAGCCGACGCCTCGGTGCCTTGTTTCGGGTTTAGGGTTTAGGGTTTAGGGTCTAGGGTCTAGGGTTTAGGGTTTAGGGTTAAGCTTTAACCTTTTTGGCTATATCTAATCCTACCACAAATAAAAGGTTCACCTTTTCTTGGGCTAGGGTATTCAGCCCCGAAGGTGCGGAAAGAGCCGAGGTGCTCCTGCTGCTCAGGGAATCTGGGTAGGCAAAGTTGGGAGGTTTTTCGGTTTTTCCCGGATTAGGGTTTAGGGTGTAGGGTTTAGGGTTTAGGGTTTAGGGTTTAGGGATCATGTTCAAGAATATTTTCTCAACGTGGGAACCTGAATCCGAACAAACCCTCGAAGCCCTGAGAACCCTGTCAGCCCTCTCGCCGGGAATGCTTTGCTTCCTTGGCTGTGGGCTTGTCGGGTTCTGCACGTCGCCCGAGTTGGAGATGAAAAAGCCAAAACCTCCAGACATCTAAACCCTGAAGCCCCTAAGCCCTGAACCCTGAAGCCTCTAGACACCTAAAACCTAAACCCTAAACCCTGAAGACCGGGCTAAGCCCTAAACACTAAGCACCAAGGAAAGGAACGATGTGGCTTTGTTGTCCTTGCTGTCGCACCGCACCTGCCCACTAAACTTGCACCTGCTCGGCCCGTCGGATATCTCGACAGAGCCTTGGGCTGTGCGAGCTTGAAGGGTTTAGGGTTTAGGGTTTAGGGTTTAGGGTTTAGGGTTTAGGGTTTAGGGTTTAGGTTGTAGGGTTTAGGGTTTAGGGTTAGGGTTTAGGGTTTCGGGCTTAGGATGGAGGGGTTGAGGGTGCAGAGGTTCAGGAGTTTGTTGGCTCAGGTTTCTTTGGGGGGTGTTTAGGGCTTCGGTGTCTCTAAGGCCTCAGGGAAACTTGGGTCTTAGAGCTTAAGGGAGTGAGGGTGTCAAGGTGTTTTGCTTGTTTAAGTACCAAACGAATCTTGTCATTATCGGAGTAAAGGGTAAACTCTGAACCCTAAACCCTAAACCCTGAACCCTAAACCCTAAACCCTTTAAACCCTAAACCCTAAACCCTAAACCCCAATCTTGGGGTCATGTGCTTTTCAAGGAAGGCGGGGCTGGCGGACATTTTTGGAGTTTCGAATCTTTGTGGCCCAGTAGTGCCATTTTTCTTTTTTTGTGTGGTTCAAGCAACCAGCCCGCCCAAAAAGGGTGCCCTTATTATGCTCTGGGGGTGTAGAAAATAGGGGGATCCCAGAAGATAGACCTTCAAGAAGTAGGATTCCCTCGATACTCAGGACCCCAAAAAGAGGTGCCCCTAAGTTCGGAAACCCCCATATACTTGGAGGTCCAGGGTACTTATGACCCCAATTGTCATGCACGTACAAGCCCCCTAAGTCCTCTAAGTAGGTTATAAGTCCCCTAAGTTCGGAAACCCCCATATGGTTCCTGGGCTACCAAGGTACTGTATCTAGGTGCTCTCAGCTCCCCCTGGGTCCGAGGGTTTCGGAACCCGAAAATTTCCTTGGCCCCCAGAACGCCCTGAGCACGCTCCCCTTCTGAACCCTCAGCCCTAAACCCTAAGCCCTAAACCCTAAACCCTAAGCCCTAAGCCCTAAACCCTAAACCCTAAACCCTAAATCCGAAGCTGCTGCAAGAGCTGCCCAAGGACTGGGTAGCCGAGCTCTTGGACTCCCATGCAGTTCAGGATGTGACGGTGCAGGCTCGTTTGTTTTATGGGTTAGGGTTTAGGGTTTAGAGTTTAGGGTTTAGGGTTTAGGGTTTGGGGTTTAGGGTTAGGTTAGGGTGTAGGGTTTAGAGTGGAAGGTGTAGGGTTTAGGGTTTGATGGGGGTCCGCTGTCTTGTTTTTTTTCCTAGGCGTGGCGGGGGTCTGTTTTTTCCTAGCTGTGGTGGGCCTTTTTGTTCTCCCAGGCGTGGCGGGCCCACTTGGTCCCTGGGTCCCTTGTACACCCCAAGGCCTTGAACGCTCAAACCCTCAACCCCAAACCCTAAACCCTAGACCCTAAATCCTAAATCCTAAACCCTAACCCTATACATCCCCAAACTCCCTAAACTACAGACCCTAAGCCTTAAGCCCTAGACAGGCACATTCGCCCTAACCCTAAACCCTAAACCCTAAACCCTAAACCCTAAACCCTAAACCCCAAACCCCAAACCCTATAAACCCTAAACCCACATCCCCAAACTCCCCCTAAGGCTTAAGCCCTGCCAGGCACATTCGCCAAGGGAGGCCGCGGACGCCGTCTGCCCCTTCGTGCACGGCGCCCCGAAGCCCCTTTGCCTGCATATGGACTCCTGGCTTCGGGTGTTGCATCCCCTTGTCTTCGTTTAGGGTTTAGGGTTTAGGGTTTAGGGTTTAGGGTTTTAGAATCTCAAAGAATAAGGCTTTCAGGTTTAGGATGTAGTTAATTAAGTCAGACTAGTAGGGCCTCTAGATAGAATTATTCACTCGAAAATGTTCACCACCCCTCCACCAGACCGCAAGACATGCAACCAGGCACCTTCTAGGCAGATGCGCCATAGACCGCCGAAACCCGAAATTTCCAAACCCTAAACCCTAAACCCTAAACCCTAAACCCTAAACCCTAAACCCTAAACCCTAAACCCTAAACCCTAAACCCTAAACCCTAAACCCTACACCCTACACCCTACACCCTACACCCTACACCCTACACCCTATACACCCTAAACCCTAGGCCTTGCGATGTCATCTTCGCAGCCCTGGTGCCCCATCTCTGGCTACCTCCTGAAGGAAAGCACCTCAGAGTGTAGGAGTTTTTACCCTAAACCCTAAACCCCAAACCCGAAGCCCTAAACCCTAAACCCTAAACCCTAAACCCTGGGTTCGTGCCGGGTTTAGGGTTAAGGGTTCAGAGTTTAATGTTGTACCTGCTTTACTGGAGGCCCCTGAGTTTACAGCCCCAGTTTGCCGGGAGGACCCTGTGACTGTTTGGGAGTGCAGGTTGGGGTCCTGTTTAAAGCCGAGTCGTTCCCGAAACCCAGATTTCCCAGAGGTCCATTTGTAGTACTGCTATGGAATTGGGTACGCAAAAACCATACTAACTAGGGTTTTGGGGTACCTAATTCCAGAATAGTACTACAAATGGACCCTCTGGGTTTGCTTTCTGAGTTAAGGGTCCCTAAACCCTAAACCCTAAACCCTAAACCCTAAACCCTAAACCCTAAACCCTAAGTCTGAAGCCAACGTTATCAACCGAAGCCCTGGCCTCCTGGCTTCAAGGCCAGGCCTCTGAACCATGGGTTCCCCTACAACCCCCGCGACCCTAAACCCTAAACCCTAAACCCTAAACCCCTCCATAATGAACCTTAATGAGGCTTTGTTGTCCTATTTAATAGCTTTAGTTGTGGGGGGAACCAAGGGGGGGGGATAGTATAGAGGGGAACCCATGACTGAACTTTAAAGGCAGGCCTTCTTTCCGAGACCCGAAAACCCGACATCCCAAGTGACACGAGAACAAGACAATTGTCCCCCTGAGTCCGGTAAGGGTTTAGGGTTTGGGGTTTAGGGTTTATGGTTTTGGGTTTTGCGTTAAGCTCTTGAAATCTTGAGACCTGCGGGCTTGTTGGGTTTCTCAGCCATGGCCTCCCCCTCTATACTACCCCCGCCTAGGTTCCCCCGTACTTAAGGATAGTTGGATAGTAAAGCTTAATTAAAGCTTCTTTTTTTTTGGGGGGGGAGGGGGGGGGGGTAGCATAGAGGGGGGGTAGGAGGGGAATCCATGACTCTTGGGAAGGGCTCCCTCAACCTTTCAACCCCTGTTCTCTTTCAATCCCTTCTTGAATGAAAAAACTCCTCCGAGAAGATTATATATCAATCCCACAGACATTAAACAGTGCAACAACCAGCTTCGACTGTTCGGGGGGAGGGACACACTAGAGCAGCGCAGGGAAACTGCAGGGATTGGCCATTTCTGGCTTTGCGGGTTCAGGGAGTTCGGGATTGTAAAGCTTCATGGGGAAACTGCACAGGGATTGACCATTTCTGGGTTTGCGGGTCAGGGGTTCGGGATTGTAAAGCTTTATGGCATGTAGCGGTTTCCATCTTGGAGTCGTTAACTCTCAAAACCCTGCGTGTAAAAAAAACACAAACACACGGTAGGCTTAGTAGCTCAGCAGACAACCTTTTTGGGGGTTTATACCATCAATCCTACCATAGAGGGTTTAGGGTTTAGGGTTTAGGGTTTAGGGTTTAGGGTTTAGGGTTTAGGGCCTAAACCCTAAACCCTAAACCCTAAACCCTAAACCCTAAACCCTAAACCCTAAACCCTAAACCCTAAACCCTAAACCCTAAACCCTAAACCCTAAACCCTAAACCCTTTCCACTAGGGTAGGCTCTGCATGGAAGTCCCCCCGGGCCCAGTTCAACTCCTGCTCTTCTTCGACATCAGCGAGCAGGAGCGAGGGCCCCTCTTCGCCCCTTCGAGAGGGTTTAGGTTTTAGGGTTTAGGGTTTAGGGTTTAGGGTTTAGGGTTTAGGATTTAGGGTTTAGGGGTGTGTAGGGCGTAGGGTTTAGAGTTTGGGGTTTAGGCCCCCCCCATGTTTATTGTGCCTTTTCAAGGGGTATTTGAATCACTTTGTTTGAAGGTATACAGGGAGGCATGTAATGGAGGCTCTTAAATAAGTCCGGCTACTATATACTCCCAGGATGAGTGTCTTCAAGGCTAGAGGCGAAGATCCATAATACCTTCAAGGGTTTCTGCACGGGATTTTAGCAGGTTTTCGGGTAGCATAGAGAGTCTATGACGATAACGCCCCCCCAAAGAAGCCAGAATGGTTTTGACGCTGTCCCCAAGGTCGGCGACGTGTGCAAGCTGCGTGAGGAAGAACGTCATGCCGTGGAGAGCCTGCTTCGTGGCCAGGAAGTGTAGGGGGGCCCGTAGTTGTACCTAGGGTTGGAAGGGCCTGAAGTTGGGTTCTGAGTACAATAACTTGGGATACAGGTTTTGTAGGTACGAATCGAAACGCAGAGCCCTGCAAGAATTTCAGACTTTAGAGCCTGTTTTGGGTTGCCTGCCATTCAAAAAGCCTACAGGCTTGCACGCTGCACCCCTTTGTGATCCCTGCACCGGAAGTTGTCCTTAGGCTTTGGGCGCCCCGCCACCTGGAGTATGCCAGATGGGGCTACACCGTGCCGTCCAGCGATGTCCTCCTCCTGCGCATGCGTGCCTTGCGAAACTGGACACTGTCTCAGCTCTTCTCGCAGGTTCCTGCTTTGGGGAGTCAACGGAACCTCAATCCTAGACACTAGAAAAAAAGCCGATAAGCCCTGCAAATCCTAAACCCTCAACCCGGTGGGGTTCATGTAGACCCTCGACCCTAAAACCCTGAAATACTCGAAATCACTCATCATGCAGGTTCCTGAAGAGACCATCCAGAATTCGACGGCTGAGCTCCACGCTGTTGCCGCGCTTCGCGGATTTCTGAGAGCTTGGCTGACACACCTCCACGACTCTCGGCCCACTTGGCTGAGTTTGCTGCATCCGTCCTGGTGGTTTGTGCCCTACGAGCAGTGGCTGCCTGGAGCTACAAAGTTCCGAAAGACTCTAAACCCGAAACCCTAAACTTAGGGTTTAGGGTTTAGGGTTTAGAGGGGGGGGCCTAGGCTCTCACAGCCCCACTTCAGTTTAGCTCCCAAGCCAACGATAAGAAATGTCCTTCGAGCCTCAACCGCTGAGCCCTAAACCCTAGCCCTAAACCCTAAACCCTGGCCTCATTTCCAGGATGTCCCCACCCCCCTAAACCCTAAACCCCTGAACCCTGAACCCTTAACGCCAAAACCCTAAACCCTAAACCCTTTGTTGAGGTTCTTCGACCTGGACTTAGCCGAGCTCTTGGCGTCCTCCTGGCGCCGGACCCTTTAAAGAGTTAGGGTTAGGGTTTTAGGGTTTTAGGGTTTTAGGGTTTTAGGGTTTTAGGGTTTTAGGGTTTTAGGGTTTTAGGGTTTTAGGGTTTTAGGGTTTTAGGGTTTTAGGTTTTAGGGTTTTAGGGTTTTAGGTTTTTAGGGTTTTAGGGTTTTAGGGTTTTTTAGGGGGTTTTAGGGTTTTAGGGTTTTAGGGTTTTAGGGTTTTAGGGTTTTAGGGTTTTAGGGTTTTAGGGTTTTAGGGTTTTAGGGTTTTAGGGTTTCAGGGTTTCAGGGTTTAGGGTTTTAGGGTTCAGGGTTTAACCCCCCGCCCCCCACCCACCCCACCCACCCGCGTTCCCACACAGGGTTCAGGGTTTAGGGTTTAGCGTTCAGGGTCTAGTTATCGGGCTTCAAGTTGCATGATTAACTATCTGATGAAACTACAGGTTTGGTGCTCCACTGGTCAGTTCCCACTATTGGGTGCTCTTGAAGTACGAGATACACACTGGGCCGCAAGGGCCATACTGAAGGGAATAGACTACTTGAACGCCCTAAGCCTACCAGTTTAGGGTTTAGCGTCCAGGCTGTACATAAAGTTTAGGGTTTAGGGTGTAGGGCTTAAGCCCCAAAATCCCCTGAGCTCTCTAGAATCCCAAAATTCGGGCTAGGGGTGAAGGCATATGGCCCCCAAAGCAGCCACTCCTTCGCCTTTTTCGGGGGCTTCAGAGGTTTCAGGGCTTAGGGCTTAGGGCTTAGGGCTTAGGTGTTTAGCATTTGGCATTTGTGATTTTAGTGTTTAGGGGCAGGCTTTAGGGCTAGGGGTGTTAGGGTTTAGGGCTTTATGGTTTTTGGTTCAAGCTGTTTTGCGTTCGGGGTGACGGTTTGGGAGTTTTCAACAATTCGAGGGCCCTTTCATACCCTCGAATATACTACGCTTCCCCTTGAGGACACCCTGAACAGGCGCCGCAGGCGAATCTTGGAAAACCGTTGACCCCAAACCCTAAACCCTAAATCCGAAATCCTAAACCCTAAGCCCTAAACCCTAAACCCTAAACCCTGAACCCTAAACCCTAAACCCTAAACCCTGAACTCCAGGACCTGGCTCCCTGTGCTGCGCATGCGCGAGTACCCGGGCTACCATGGCAGCAGTTCGGACGCTGGGTCTCGGTTTAGAGTCCCCTAAACCCTAAATCACGACCCTAAGCCCTCAAGGTTTAGGGGTTTAGGGTTTAGGGTTTAGGGTTTAGGGTTTAGGGTTTAGGGTTTAGGGTTTAGGGTTTAGAGTCCCTAAGCCCTAAGTTACAATCCTAAGCCATGAAGCCTTTCGAAAGACTATAAACCCTGAACCCTAAACCTTAAGCCCCAAAAGCTCAAACCCCAAACCCGAAACCTGGTTCTAGGGGTTTCCCGACTGCGCGGTATAGAAGTGCTGGGGCTTACGGATTTACAGGTTTTTGGGTTTTTCGGTTTTTTTGAACTCCCCACCCCCGAAACCCCTCTAGGTTTGCTAGGGCTTTAACGGGTTTAGGGTTTAGGGTTTAGGGTTTAGGGTTTATGGTTTAGGGCCCTAAACCCTAATGCTCTGTGGGTGCGGAGATGCCAACTTAAGGAGCTGAAGATCTGGTGTCCCCCTGCTGCAAGCGCTGTTCCCATTGCTGTCAGGACTTCTGGGGTTTTGGGGTTTAGGGTTTAGGGTTTAGGGTTTAGGGTTTAGGATTTAGGGTTTAGGGTTTAGGGATTAGGGTTTGGGGTTTAGGGTTTAGGGTTTGGGGTTGAATTGCGAGAATTGGAGTCTGGCGTGGAAGGCTTTGGGATGTGGGGTTTGAAGTGCTCAGGTTTTAGGGCTGCAGGGTTTGGGATTTCGGTTTGAAACAGACATTGGGTTTTGGGGGTTGCAAGTCTGAGTTCTTCCCATGGATTTGATCTAGGGTTTGGGGTTTAGGGTTGGGGGTTTTGGGGGGGGTTAGGGGTTTGGGGGGTGTTTAGGGTTTAGGGTTTAGGGTTTAGGGTTTAGGGTTTAGGGTTTAGGGTTAGTGTGTCGTGCATGGCTTCCTGAGTCTTGTTTCCAGGTTTCAGGTTGTGTGCCGAGGCTTTGCGTCTAAGACCCTAAACCCCAAACCCTAAACCCTAAACCCTAAACCCTAAACCCTAAACCCTTGTGAGGGAGATTTAAGGGGTAAAAGGAGGGACCCCTGCAAGGGACCCTTCATCTTACTCCCCTATACAACACACGTGTTTTTTTAACCTTTTTTGGCCCCTATAAACCTAAGTAGCCCCCCCAAAAAAACCCTCAAATAACCCCTAAGGTCTCTTACGAGGGTTTTTCCTTTAGTCCCTTGAGAGATGGCATTTGCCGCCAGGAATTTCTGGCCGGACATCATGCAGCGCCATGCCTACGCTGTCTCCTGGGAGACCCGCATTGGCCGCAACTCCTGCGGCAAGACGGTGAACATCATGCCGGGCGTTTGTGACAAAAGCTGGTTTAGGGTTTAGTTTTTAGGGTTAGGGTTTGGGGTTTAGGGTTTAGGGTTTAGGGTTTAGGGTTTAAGGTTTAAGGTTTGGGGTTCTTAAGGGAGGGGGGTTCATGTGGGGGGTCGGTATAGCTTAGGGCTTGGTTGCAGGAGAGACACACGCACCCTCTTAAAACCCTATGAGCCGAAACCCTAAACCCTAAACCCTAAACCCTAAACCCTAAACCCTAAACCCTAAACCCTAAACCCTAAACCCTAAACCCGACCTCCAAGCCACTGAACGCCTATGAAACCCCACAGGTCACTTCAGTGGGAGCGCCCAGATCGCCCCCCTACCATCCCCTTCCAGATCCACGAGCTTCCCTGGGTGGCGGCCGCTGGGATATGGGGGTTTAGGGTTTAGGGTTTAGGGTTTTGGGTTAAAGGGACCCCTAAGTATAGACCCCCAAATATGTAGTAGGATTCCCTGATACTCAGGGACCCCTAGATATAGACCCCCCCAAATTATGTAGCAGGATTCCCTTAGAATAAGGTACCCCCGAAGTTCGGAAACCCTAAACCCTAAACCCTAAACCCCTAGATATAGACCCCCTCAAACTATGTAGCAGGGTTCCCTTAGAATAAGGTACCCCCTCTAAGTTCGGAAACCCCCCGCCATATCGCTTCTCTTGTCTGAGGGGGTTCAGGCACCAGAAGGCCTATAGGGGTTCATCGGGTTTAGCTCTAGGGTGTTGGGGTTTAGGGTTTAGGGTTTAGGGTTTGGGGTTTAGGGTTTAGGGTTTAGGGTGTTGGGGTTTAGGGCTCAGAATGTTTTAGGGTGTAGGGTGTTAGGGTTCATATGGGTTTAGGGTTCAAGGCTCAGCATCTAGGATTCAAGGCATATAGGGCTTATGAGAGTCTAGCTAGATGGCCAACGACACGAACTGATTGCTTGTTGCACCATATCAGGGTTTTTTGGTAGGTCTCATATGATTTGGCCATTTTCATGCACCTTGTATGCCGTGCTTTAGTTTACACTTCATCCCTTACTAACGGCGAAGCCTCATTAGTCAGCCTTGCGTATGGGAACCCGTCTTTGAAATCTTTGCGTGTAAGCTTTGGTGCGAATCCTTCAAGCACTCTTGGGAGGCTTCTTGCACCCAAGTTTAGGGTCACTGGGTTCGGAGTTTAGGGTTGCGGTTTATGGTTCCGGAACAACATCCGTAACTACTTTCGCAACCATTGCAAGCTTAAAACACGACAGGGCTCCTCGCCTGACCCCGTCGTTGACCGAGGCGTGGCTGGCTTCCTACAAGAGTCTCTGACAGGGGCCAGCGCGTCCGCGAACTGTTTCCTTCTTACTCTGTGTTGGAGCCCTCATTTCTGGTATGGGCTCCCCTGAACCCTAAACCCTAAAAAACCCGACCCGGTTGCCGTAGCATGTTGCACAAGTCTAGCCCCTGAAGCCCGAAACATCCTCCAGCCCAAGCTTAATCCATAAGCCTTTCAGCCGCAAGCCCCAAAACTCTGCACCTGAAACGAAGGGCCCTCGATTCCTTGTTGTTGGGAGGAATGGGGAGACAGAAAAGGGAGCGGTCAGTTGTGGCTGAAGTGTGAGACTTCAGGGTCTTGGTTTCGGGGGCCGGTCCGTGCTTCAGTTCATCTGGTTTCGTCCCGCAAGTTCGGGTATGTGGGCCTTTCTGCTAGAGTTTGCTTCCCTAAAACCCTAAACCCTAAACCCTGAAGCTATGATAAGCTCCCCCGAGCTCCACCTAGTGGCTTCTGTACTTGGGAACCCGAGCTCAGAGGCAGGGCCGGGGTTTGGGGTTTGGGGTTTAGGGTTTAGGGTTTAGGGTTTAGGGTTTAGGGTTCAGGATTTCGTGTTTAGGGATCTGGGTATAACCAGGTTCAGCGTAGGAGCTTCTTCCTCGATTTTTTGAAGGTTAGGTTCCCTTGCAAAACCAATGAAACCAAAAAGGGTGCCCTTTTTGCTTCCGGGGATCACTCTTGGGTCTAGGTTTGGGTTTAGGGTTTAGGTTTTAGGGCTTAGGGCTTAGGGCTTAGGGTTTAGGGTTTAGGGTTTAGGGTTTAGGGTTTAGGGTTTAGGGTTTAGGGGTTTAGGGGTTTAGGGGTTTAGGGGTTTAGGGTTTAGGGTTTAGGGTTTAGGGGTTTAGGGGTTCAGGGGTTTAGGGGTTTAGGGGTTTAGGGGTTTAGGGGTTTAATTAGGGGTTTAGCTGTTTAATTAGGGGTTTAGGGGGTTGGGGTTTAGGGTTTTGTCTCTAACCCCGAAACCATAAACCCTAACCCCCAAACCTTAAATTCAAAGCTTCGAATGTTCAACCTGAGTACCGTGGGTTACATTCCTGCATGTAGGGAAAACTAAACATGAGGGGGGAGTGGGAGAGTACTTGACGGAACAGGCTAGGCCGTGGACCTCAGGCATCCTAAAACCCAAGAACCTCTAGCCCTAAACCCTAGCCCTAAACCCTAAACTCCAAACCCTCTCACCCGAAACCCCTATCTATCTGCAAGGAGTGCACCTTCCACCGTGTGATCCCTGACTTCATGTGCCAAGGCTTTGGGGTTGCACCTTGTGGGCTCGGCCTGAAAGGAGGAGGGCGCTGAAAGGGCATAAGGGCATAAGGGGTTTAGGGTTTAGGGTTTAGGGTTTAGGGTTTAGGGTTTAGGGTTTAGGGTTTAGGGTTTAGGGTTTCGGCCTAGGAGTTCCAGGCTGAAGCGCTCAGGGTTGGATTTGGGCTTGATGAGTTGAGTCACACTGTTCCTGCGGCACGTTTCCCTGTGCCGATCATCTAACTTTACCTTCACTGCACCTTAAACCCTAAACTCTTGTAAGCCCTAAAACCCCAACCCCTAAACGCTAAACCCAAAGACTCCTTGAGCTCTGGGTACCCAGGGTGGGTCTATTGTTCCCTTTTTCGCATGGGCTTTCGGGTTCCTATTTCTAGGTCACAAGGGCCTAGGGTTTGTTAAAGTTCCTGAACTCTAAACCCTATTTCAGGCTATTTTGGGATCTAGCAACCCAAATAAAAACCTGTCAACCCGAAGCCCTAAACCAGGGTTTGGGGTTTGGGTTTTCAGGTCCTAGGGTTGGCCATAAGAACCCACAAAACCTACATCTGAACTTCTGTTTGCTAGATCCCGTGTGTACAACCCCCCCCCTCCCCCCCCCCCCAGGGGTATGAAGGCTTAGGGTCCAGCACACCTACAAGGTCTATGAATGTCAGGGTACCCAACGAGAACCATAGAGAACTGTGACCCTGCAAGTCGGACTGCGACCAGCACGATCCCTGTGACTGTTGACACTTTCGACATGCAGGCGGTCGACGAAGGGCTCGATCTGGGAGGTACCTTGGGGCCGCGGTCTGCACGCAAAGACAACAGCAGAGAGCTGCCCCTTTTAGGGCCTAGCGTTTAGGGTTTAGGGTTTAGGGTTTAGGGTTTAGGGCTTTAGCCCGGTAGCTCCTCCGAGTCTCGTACTGTCAGGGGCACTAAGTACTATACGAACTAGATTTAGGGATTCGCTGGAGTGCTCCGTCTTTTGGGGTAGTGGCCCGGCTGGACAGACCTGACATGAAACGATGTCCTTCCGCTTCGTTGCGGTCGACTGGCTTGGCGCATGGCTTGGAAGTTGTCCAGCCTTCTGCGAAGTTGCCTGGTGGTGCTTCGACGTGGTCGCATTCAGTTGCTTAAGTGGCGCGTGTGCGCTTCGCTTGCTGTGTGCCCTGAGACACCCGCTTTTGAGCCGCGGCACTGGACTCTGACTCAAGCCAAAAGCTGAAATCACCCGAGCGCCCGAGGGACCACAGACGTTAGAATGTGACTTAAGTGTTTTGAGGACAGAGACGTGTTGTGCAGTTCGGACTCTGAGTCACGCTGGAGCTGTCGGTTCGGGGCCTCCCGAACAACCTGACTGATAGGGTTTGGGGTTCAGAGGTTTAGGGTTTAGGGTTCATGGTTCAGGGTTTGAGTTTAGGGTTTACGCTTCGCGGACCAGGCTAGACGGTCTGGTGGTGTTCTTGGGGGGTGTGGAGTACAAGCTGCCGAACCCTATGTTTGAAACCTAAACTTAGATAGACCCAAACCCCTACAGTCCGAAACCCTAAAACCTGACGCATCTGTGGAAGGTGGTGACTTCACCAATCACGATGGCACAGGTGGGAGATGGGCCAGACAGTTGTCGCGCTGAGGATGTCCAACCACGACCATGAAGTAAGTGAAATCGAAACCCCGCATAGCCCATCCTATTTCCAAACGCCTCGCCCTAAACCTTATAGCCTAAACCTCCAAGCCCTAAAGCTTAAGCCTTAAGCCCTAAACCCCACAACCAAGAGGCCTTAAAGCTTAAAGAACAACTCAGTCGACCCGAACCTGGCAGGCGGGAAATCCATCTACGGCGAAAAGTTTGAGGATGTACCTCGGCCAGGGCAAGAGTACCCGAGGCCAGTTTTGGGTTATGGTGTTTGGGTTTAGGTTTAGGGTTTAGGGTTAGGGTTTAGGGTTGAGGGTTTAGGGTTTAGGTTTTATAGGGTTTAGGGTTTAGTGTGTAGGGTTCGTAGGGTTTATTGGGTGTACAGGCTCCTTACAGGGTTTAAGGAGGCTGGCCCTTGGAGACATGTCTCAGATGTTCCCCTTACTAGGTTTCAGGGTTTAGGGTTGAGGGTTGAGGGTTTAGGGTTAGGGGCTCGCAGTTCGGAAGGATTTTCTAGAGCGTCTCCAGAGGCCAATCTGCATGGAATCCGGAGGTCTTGGAGTTGAGAGCTGAAGGGTTTTAGGTCCAGGGTTTAGGGTTTGAGGCTTTAGGGTTTGGTCTAGGTTTAGGGTTTAGGGTTCAAGGGTTTAGGGCTTAGGATTCAGGGTTTAGGGTTTAGGGCTGTTCAGGGTTTAGCGTCTAGGGTTGAGGCTTTCCAAGAAGACCCTGCCACCTAGAAGCACACCCTAAACCCTAAACCCTGAACCCTAAACCCTAAACCCTGAACCCTGAACCCTAAACCCTAAACCCTAAACCCTAGACGCACAATCCGACCTGAGGAGAACTTCTCCCTGGAGCATACCGGCGAAGGTGTCCTCTCCATGGCGACGCCTTGCTCGGGCTAGCCCTAAACCCTAAACCCTAAACCCTAAACCCTAAACCCTAAACCCTAAACCCTAAACCCTAAACCCTAAACCCCAAACCCAAACCCTAAACCCTAAACCCTAAACCCTAAACCCTAAACCCTAAACCCTAAACCCTAAACCCTAAACCCTAAACCGTAAACCCTAAGCCCTAAGCCCTAAGCCCTAACTCGGGGTTCCAAATACGATCTCATTCGGCAAGCATCTGGCTTCTCAAATCCTAAACCCTGAACATTGTGAGTCCTAACCCATAAACCCTAAACCCTAAACCCTGGGAGGAGTGGGCTGAGATCCACGCGTGGGGTACAGTTCATGCGCCACGCGCTCGTTTTTATTTTTTTTCGATTCCTGAACCTTCCTAAATCCGAGGCCGCAAACCCTCGAAATCCTAAATGCTCTATGTCCTCAACCGTAAGCCCTTTGTCGGGGCTGTCCTCCTTCCCTGCCACAAGAGGGCTTGACCTGAATGATTTTAAAGGCCCTCTTCGGTACTAAACCCCAGGAACAATTTGTGAATGGAAACCTTTTTCTAACGGATACCGAAACTGCCCTCAACATTGGTCAACCCAGGGACTTTAAACGCCCTACGCCCTAAACCCTAAACCCTAAACCCTATACCCCAAAGCCCCCTGCGCCTCCCAAAGGAATGCCGGGCCGAACACCAATGGCTCGCAGTTCTTCCTCTGCCGCTCACAGCAATACTTCTGGGTTTCGGGCGGATGGTCTAAACCCTAAACCCCTAAACCCTAAACCCCTAAACCCCTAAACCCCATAAACCCCTAAACCCCTAAACCCCCAAAACCCCTAAACCCTAAACGGGTTCTGAAATCTCCCAACGTGATCGGTTCTCAGCTCAGAAGGCCCCCTAAGGATTTGGTGACGTCTTAGGTGTTTGGGCCTTGAATCCTATGTCTGTCTCTGTGTGTGTGTGTGTGTGTGTGTGTGCGTGTATTGTATGTATATATATATATATATATACAATTCTATGTAAAAGAGTACAAGGGGCACACGGTGATAAGTAAATGCAGAAACCACACATAAGTATAGACACACGTGTGTACATATGAATGTCCATTGTACATGCATATGTCCGTGTGCATGCTGAAAAAGGTATGTGTACATATGTATATATATATATATATATATATGTATGTATGTATGTATGTATGCGTATGTGAATATATATATATAT